TCTTTGAAAGATCTATGAAAGATCTTTGAAAGATCTATGAAAGATCTATGAAAGATCTTTCAAAGATCTTTCAAAGAATGTGGTAGCGGATCCTTTGAGTTTTCCGGTGGGAAACGGTTCGTTCCTTGGCGGTTTCGGGTCGGTTCCTGCGGGTTATTGTTTTTTTCCCGTAGATTTTCGCCAGCGGAAAATTCTCGGAACGCTGCGTTTCCGAGTACGAGAAAATTCCGGCCGGAATACTGCTTCCATGTTCCGGGTGTTTTTCCGGTCATTTCCGGCGGGAAAGACACTGGAAACGGCGGGAAGAGGCCGGAAAATACACCGTTTCCAGCCGGTTCCTGCAGGTTCCGGAGGCCGGAATCATTGACCTGGGTACACTTCTGCACTTTATTGTGATTCTTATTAGACTTCTTCTTTATTGTTATTTCTTCCGATCACAATATTGCCAATGATGCATATTATTAGTTTGATGTGTAGTTTATCTTCTCTCATTTATGATTTTCATTACTTATGTTATTTCTTCTTCTTATTTTTATATCGTCTCTACAATCTATTCTTTTTCTTTCTCGCTATTATACATGCTCGAGAAAGCGTCTCAATGGCGCCCGGAGTGTAACATTCAATATATGTGACTTCTATTTTATCAAAGACATTATTCTATTCTTTGCATCTTTGCAAATATAAAAAATATGACGTCGAGCCTTGTTGACTCATGATTAAGGATAAATGCATACGGAAGCGATAGGTTTTTCCTATTCTTTTTTTGTTGGAGAAATATTCACATGTCCTTTTCATATGTTATTTCTTCGTTCGTCGTGCCATAGTGTCATATGTACTTTTCCATCTTTGTATAAATAAAAACATGATGTCATACATTGATGACTCATGGTTGAATGTATGAAGAATAGGTCACTGGTTTTTTCCTAGTAATTTCTTTCTCTTCTGAGGATATACAATGATGCACGTGCTAAAGATCGAGTCTCTTTCCGTTGCCACGCACATTGTCTGAAGTGATCAAAAACAAAGGGAAAAAATAGATGATTTGTAGATCAAAATGAATATAGTTAGTGCGAGTAGTGAATTTCCCTGTACACAAGTACAATTATTACAAGTTCGCAAGATGTTTGTAAGAATTTTTTTCCCACACGCGTTTTCGGAAGTTGGTGACTGCCTGAGTATCAAAAGAAGAATGAGTTGTACGAAAGTAATACGACATACATACATCAATGTTTTTTTCTTCTCTTCTTGTTCTACTTCTCTCGTCTTTCGTGCTATTCTCTCGATGATACTCATTAATGACACACCATAGACGATAGTCATGAAAAAATAAGAAAGAAAAGGGAGAGAAGGAAGAGCAACTAAAAAGAAAAATTTGCCTATTTGTGACATAGAAGAAAAGCTGCTTTTTATAAGTTACGTAGAATTGACTTGGTGATATGAAGTTGCACGCGCGAAACAGAAGGCTGAATGAATAGGTGACATATAGACTATGATGCATCGAAAGTGCGACACATTTTATTTTAGTGCGTACTCCCTTCGGAAAAGCGACATATACGATGATGATACACTTTTCGTTCTCCGAAACGACTAACTACCTTATACGACGAAACATCGAATTTCTAAATAGCAAAAATAAGGCGAACATGTACTGATGAAGTCTTTTCGATTGTAGAAATATTTTGAGATGTAACTTTCCTAATTGCATAGACCTTGTTGAGAATAGAGAACTTCTAGCATGATATGGACATTTTACTAGATTTTTGGCTATTGCAAGATATACGCTGAAAAATTGAATGTTGAAATTTTTACCAGAAATTTAATTTATCAAGAGGTCTCATGGTAACTATGAAGTGTTAAAAGATTCAGTCAAGATGAATGTATCCTTCCTGAGATAATCAATCCTTGAAAAATATGGATACCGTTCATAGCTACTATGAGATCTGTTGGTGAACAAAATTTCTAGTCAAAATTCTAACATTTTATGATACACAGTATGTATACCTTGTCGTAGATTAACAATCCAGCTAAATGCCTATAACTCAAGAAGAAAGGCATATGAGGAAGAATTATTTTAGACTTTGTCTATTCTCGATATGACCTATCTAATTAGGAAAATAATATCTCAAAAACATTTTATAACCCAAAAAGACTCCATAGTAAAAAATTCCCGCCGAGTTCTCTATTTCATTATATCGAAGTGTCACAAAAAACAAGTTAAACCGATGATGAGTTTTGGATGTATAAATGTTTGTTACAAAAATGCACGTAAACGAGGATAGGTCGTTTTTTCAGGACAACAAACGTTTAGTGTTTAAACACGTTTTCTTTTTTGTGACAATTTGATAGTGTTTAAATATGTGAAAAAAATACTAGCATAAATGTATTTTTTCTGCATTTTTGAGTACTAAAGAACTTAGTCTGATTGAGGTCTTGTGCGTGCAAAGTCTTAGGTCAAAATGCGAAACTTTGATTTTACCAAAGAACTGGAATCTACACGAAGATTGTAGTAAAACCTGAATATCTCAACCAAATCACAACTTGGGCCCATATCCTCTTAAGGTTTTTTCTAGTCTATATATTCCCTACCTGTAGGTGAAATTTGATCTCGAAAGTTTTTTAGCACTTGAAGAAGTTTCCACGTGGATAAAAGTGATCTGGTTTCGGTTCATCCAGTTTTTAAGTCCCGATCGTGGTCCTTTCAATTTTTCGGAGTCTTGTTGTTAGTCCCGACATAGAGAGAACTTTTTCAGAATTTCTTCGCATTGAGTTTTAAAATGTTCTTAAATATTTGGGTTTTTTTTTATTGGTTCAGTCGACGAATGCCACTTTTTTTGATCATCTCTCCTGATTTTTGCTTTGATCGATATGTTTTATAACACAATTCGCTAAAAATTATAGAAAATTTATTCACAATTTTTAGTTTCATTAAAAACAAATTCTCGTCTTAATGGTCCCAGTCCGGTTCCTGTAAATTTTTATTTGTTTGGTCCCGATTCCAATGACTGAGACTGAAACTAGAACTGGCTCCCTACATCTATAATTACCCATCAATATTTAGTTTAGTGAGTCCATTTTTTTTCTTTTTCTCCATCGTTTTCATCTGATGTAGTCGTAACTATACAAGTTGAATCATCTAACAGAAAAGAAGTGATGACTAAGGAAAAATTAAGAAGTACTTTTTTCTGCATATTGCTGTTCTTCTCGTATTTTTTCATCACCGATCTTCTGATTTAAATAGACGAACGAAACCAATTTTTTTCCTGTGTCGCCATCTTCTCCCCTATTTTTTCCATCATACACCTTGAAATTCAGTCAGGCACCATAGAGAAAAAAAAATGAAAGAAAAAGATTATCTTACTTTTTCTAACCAACCTAAATTACCGTTCTTCTAAGTCACTTAAAATAATTCTTTTATGGCAAAAAATTTGAAGTTGATCGCAAAACCTTAGACAGACCAAGAGTAACATTTTTTCATACATCCAAACCACTATTACGATAAACATTAACTTCAAAAAATTACTTTTTTCTCTATTTCTTACTAACTAAAGATTACTATACTTTTCTCCATTTTACAAAGATATTACTATTCGATTATCCACGAGCACAGTATGAATGCATTATTGATTAGCTTCCTTCTATTCATGGCTTGTTTTACATCTAATCAATGTTACGAGGTGATGGAATCCTACATCATCGATATCATGCCAAGACGTGAAGCAATTCGGACGTTACTAAATCTGCAAGATCCAACTAATGCTACCAAACTTGGTGCTTGTCTTCCTACTCCTCCTCCTACTGATTGTAGTGACAGTTGTAGTGGTAATTGTGGTTGTAATTGTGTTGGTCCTCCTGGTTGTGTTGGTACTCATCAATGAACAGATTTGCATGGCCAGTAGAGAAAAGACTACTATACTTTATTTTCTATTCAAAGAACATTTTTAATCATTTACTCAAATTTAGTCTGTGGGTTTTTTATATAATCAAGATTTTATGAATAAATTTTTTGGTTGAATAAAAGTGTGTTTTTTCGTTTTCTTTAAGCCTGTAGGGTGAGTATGCTGTAGAACTCTTTTTTTGATAGAAAAATTGATTTTTGGTTTTTGCGTAGTAAATATAGCAAATGCTGTGGTCTTTCATGAATAACAAGCAACCTCTAGAGATATCGATGTTTCAGCAGTTCTGAGAGAAAGTTTTTGCCATCATAATTTCTGAATTAGTGAAACCTAGCTCGAGTTTTAGGGTATCGAATACTTTTGAGCACTAGTGTAATTAAAAATTATTTCTCTCTGAATAAAGGTTATAATAAAAAATAAAAAAAAACATTCATCTATTAGTTTCTTATTCTCTTTTAGACGGTTTTTATTGCATCTATTTCTCTATATCGTCACATCTCACTCTTTTTGTACTACACGACACAAATAGAAAACAAAAGATTGCAACACATAGCCATGTATCGCTCTTCTGGATTCATTTCATTCGATGTGAAATCAACGCGTAAGTTTATTTTTTTCCTTTTTTAAATATAAAATTCTTTAATTTTTTTCTAGACATTTTCGTTCTGTTATTCATACATTCACTGCCATTCTCTAGTTTATGTTTTGTTTCTGTTATAATACCAGATGAAGATCTCATATATATAAATGAACGTTTACAATTAAAAGTACATATGAATCATGAAGATGCATTAAATTCAATTATCGAATTAGAAAATTATTATACGGGACTCAAAAATAATTTACATGGTTCACCATCAGAAATGGTTGATGAAGCCTGGCATGCACATATATTAAATACGCTAATGTACTTTCGTTTTTCTACGGCAGAATTTGGTTCATATCTGCATCATATACCATTTTGGTCTGGTAATAGAAAACAGATAGGCCAACTGAATGATGATATATCAATGCTTGAAAAATTAAAAAAATTGGGCATTCAAAATATAAACGAAACTGTCTGGATATATCGATCGAAAAAAATGAAGAACTAGTGGAAGAAGAAAAAAAACTCTCAACTTTCGATAACGTTCGCCACTACTTTCCATCTGTTAGCGTCAATGGTGAATGAGTTGTTGCCGCTAACTTCGACGGCTAGGTAGTCACTCCATTCTATCCATTGTGTCCGTTCGTTTTCATTTTTCTTAAGAGTGTGAGTTTAAAAGACAAATAAAAAATAAAAAACTATCGAATCAGGGTGTGAGTGTGCGTGAGCAGTGCCTAGGGTATAATTGTTCAACCAATAGCATGGTTTTAAACACGAGTTGATTTGGATCATCTTACACGAGAAGATACAGATGCTAATCTGATTTTACTTGATGCTCACGGTCTTTATTGGTTAATTCAAAGTATTTGTGAAAATAAACAACCATGTTGTTGTCAATATGCTTAAATTAATTATTTAAAACCAACTCAACGTTATTATCATATTTCATCTGATTGGCTTAGGCCGAAAAATAATTTAATTACAATATTTGATGATTTAGGTATACCATCACCTGGGTCACTTGGTCTAGTACAACGTGTTGTTACAAATTGACAAATAAATAATTTCTTCTATATTTAATACAACGATACGTACTTAGCTGATTTATGTTTCAATTAATTTTCTCTTCTAAATAAACATATTTTACAGACTTTATTTTTCCAATAAGGTTGTGGAATGTGGATCTAAATAAAAGGAATGCCTATACCTCACATGTTCAATGCTGCACTATCCAGGAGAGTTCAGATGTTAGAATTATGTTTCTAGTATCAATGGGAAACACTTGAAATCAAAGATTCAAATCATCGTTTGTGAATGACTTTCTACGAGGTACAAGAGATAATCCTTTCAACGATCATTGATATTACCAGTTGCTCATAGATTCTACAATCTGATTTCTTGAATATCAAACGAGCTAGTGAGACAGATTGACTAGATAATATAAACCAAGTAAGGAAGAATGCGAAGACTGATTTTTTTAATCTCGTATCAGTTTTCGATCGAAAGAAAAATCTCGAATAAAGTTTATTTGATTTTCTTCGACTTCAATCAATTCTGAGAACGACTTTCTCAATTCGAACTTCAAATTTACATCTAAAACATTTTGTTGGTTAACAATGAGGGAGAAATGAAATCGTCTTTTTCTAATTGTCTCGTTGGAAAAATTTGAATTCAATAAAGAATTGTTGATAAATATTCGGATATGTTCTCAAACGAAACAAAAAAAAAATTGACCGATTGAATTCAAATTGTTTCAGCGATATTTTCAGAGAATCAGTTTCGTTGGATACGATCAATTCTACTCAATGGAGTTTGTGTTTCGATACAGCTTCTTCGTTCGTATTTAAATGATCAGCAAACAACTAAACGATAACAATCGAACATCGAATGTATCGTTCAGTTTGTTTATGAAACTGCATAAATCAAATTATTCAATGTTCAGTAGTAGAAAGTGATCAACTTTCAGTGATTGTTCTATCAAGTTCATAATTGCAAATGAGGCCCTCTTCATTTGTCAATCGTCGGTTTTTTTTAAAGTTCGACTCGAACAATTTGTCGATATTGTTTTTTTTTTTAGAAAAAGAAAGAAACATGAATTTTTCCTCGAAATTCAACTTGATGAAAAGACGCGAATAGTCATTTTTCTTCTTCATCTTCATGGATTGAATACAGATGGGTGTGGATCAACCAGAAGAGGAACACTCATACTCACATCTACACCCACCCACACCCACACCCAATTTAATAACAGCGTCGTAATATGATGCAATTGTTTCATCTGATTTTTGCAATCGTTCCTTTAATTGTTCGAATATTTTCGATGACGAAACTGATGTTGTAAATCTTTCTAATAGTGCTGATTTTAAATTGTCCCATTGAGTTAATGTCATGTTATCTTCATACCATCGCTTCTCTTCATCATCTAATTTTGCTGTACACATACAATGTAAAATATCACCATTTGCGTCGGTCATTCTACCGATTCTTTCAATATTATTAATAAATTGTAAAATTTTTTGTTCTTCACCACCATTGAATTTTTCCAAATTTGATAAACATTCTCGATAGCATATCAGCATTGTTGAATCTTGTGCGTTGTTAGACATTGTTTCCTTTTATCGATATGTATGATCTTTTATATCTTTTAATGATTGTGATATTAGTTTCTTTACTATACGTTCAGACGTTTCTGTTAACAAATCGCCGTTGTATTCGGGATCTGTATTACTACTTCGTAGATTGTAAGCCGTTGTGTATTATTTGATAATTTACTTACGTAAACCAAATTGACCGTAAAGTTGCTTGTATTTTATTTTATTTTTTTGTAACAGGTAATTCGAAATGAATTTCCTCTGTAACTGATTTTTCCGAATATTGAAATTGTACAGGTCACTCCTAATTCGGAATGTCCTCTGGTAAGATTTTTATTATTGTTAAATAATAAAAATAATCGGTCGCGGCACCAAATATTAGAGGTCTGATGTTCGACCCTTTCTTTTATTTATTTTCAAAAATGTCCTCACACACACGTACATATATCACACTACACCCTCTGCACTTCTATCTGTATATCTATATATCAGTTCAAAAGAGAAAAAAATATATATATCTATCTGACTACGTCCAGGGTTCAAAACGTAAGGACAACATAGAATAAAGAAAAATGACCTGAGATATATCATATCAAAGAAATAACTAACCAGAAGAAAAGAGAAACGAAAAAAAGAAAAAAAAGAAAATATTTTCAGGGTTATCCTCTAACACATGGCCTCTGTTTTCTCATAGCTAAAATAAGTTTACCGAAACATTCAAAGAAAACAAAGTGGAATATGCTTTTCTAAAAGTACTTTTCTTGCTATGATTTTAGCTGTTTTACTTTTCTCTTGCCAACATAGCACCATGGAGATGCAAATATATATTTTCTTTTTGAATTGTTGGCCTGTACATTAGTTAATTGAAAGATAGACGTTATTTGTCTATAACGTTAGAAATACAGCATTTTCTTCTCCTTCTTGTTATTTTAGTGTAATTGGAAAACCCGAAGCATGAAATATAAGAAAGAGCTCCATATATAATATTGCAATGTGGAAAGATGATAAGCAGAATGTTGAATCTTTGCGAGCAGCAACACTAACTCTTACTACTCATAACAATAGCAACATAAACGGTGAGTTTTTTTTCACAGTTTAGAATTTTTCTAGATAAATAGACTCTTCAAAGTATTTGTGTGCTTATCTGTGGATGAGTAATATATCGAATTTATTGTGTATCTCCCATGTCGAACAATCCAGCAAGGAAACGGTCGGTTTCGGAGTTTTCCGCGAATTTCATGGAAGCAGTATTCCGCGACGAAATTTGCCGGATTTTTCTGCTTACTTTTCGACCATATCCGGCCGGAAATGGAAGGAAAATCCAGGAAGAAATCCAATCCTTTCCATTTCTAATCCGGATAGTCGGTTCCTGCACGAAAACGATTCCAACTTACTTGATTTCCGTCGGGTTTTATAAGTAAAATTTCCATGAATCCCCCTACCCAAGTTTATCACCTACTTTCGTCTATTTCTGAACCCGCAAGTGTACCCACGACTATAATTCGGGCCTCCTAAAACGATTGAAAATGGCCGGAAAGCTCATCAACAATCATCGTTTCCAGAAGGAAAAAACACGGAAATCAATTGAAATAAAAGCAGTATTCCCAGCCCGAAAGCTATGGTACTTTTCCGACCACTTCTGGTCATTATCAGCGCTGTTTCAGCGCTCAATCAGCCAACGAAAAAAAGACTTTTGAGAAAAGTCTCGTAAGTACTCCGGCTGAATCAGCGAACGAACATAAGACTTTTTGGAAAAGTGTCGTAAGTACGCTGACTGAATCAGCGCTGAATCAGCCAACGAAAAAAAGGGTTTTGAGAAAGGTCTCGTAAACGCTCTCGCTGAATCAGCCGCCGAAAAAAAGACTTTTGAGAAAAGACTGGTAACTACTCCGGGTGAATCAGCGCTGTTTCAGCGCTTAATTATCCAAGGAAACAAAGACGTTTGGAAAAAGCTTAGTAACTACTCCGGCTGAATTAGCGCTGTTGCAGCGCTGAATCGGCAAACGAAAAAAGACTTTTGAGAAAAGACCGGTAACTACTCCGGCTGAATCAGCGCTGTTTCAGTGTTGAATTGGCCAAAGAAGAAAAGACTTTTTTGAAACGTGTGGTAGCAAAACCTTTGAAAAGCGCGTAACTGTATACGTCGTAGAAAGATAATCTTAACGTATAGAAAGGTTGGTAACTAAATGTTCTTCCTTATTGCGAACGATATCCTTCCAAAAGGAGGAAAGATGTTATTGTTGTGCACAACATTTCTGTTGAAAGCGAACTTCAGAGAAAAATGTTATTGGTTAATGGGTTAGTTTTCTCATTGATAAGCATCCGATGTGAATTTTATCAACTTGTGATGATTTAAAATAGAGATTTCGGAGAAATCAACGATTGACCTACATTTCTTCCGAAAGTGGGCGTTCGAAGCTAGTACAGCATCATTCGTAAACATTTTGAAACTGATTTGCGAGATTAGTGTATCAAATTTTAGTGGCCTAGAAAGTTTTATTTCACTCCCATGGAGTTGATGTAAATGTGGTATGCTTTCAAAATTATTGCCCATAGCTTTTCAAGAGCTCTAATGGGCGCTGTCATACTATACTGCTTGATAGCCTGCAAATACCGCTATAGAAAAATCTGCGGGAACATATGGGCATCGCATATAATATCTAGTGAAAACCTATGGGTACCCTTGTATGATAGTCTTTGCGGATCTATAGGTACTTCTCTAGGAAAGCGGTTGAAGACCTTTGGGCAACCCTATAGAATAGTCCGTGTGGTCCTATGGATACCGGGTTACCGGAACTTCGCCAATTCAGACTTTCGCCTATAGGACATTCGCCTATAGGACATTCGCCAATGACGAAAGTACAGGGATTTGTTGGCGAAGGTACGGTGGACTTTTGCCAATTGGCGAAATTCCAGGGTATTTATTGGCGAAAGTACAATGGATTGTCGCCAATTGACGAAATTCCAGACGGTATATTGACAAAAGTACACGGGCCTTTCGCCAATTGATGAAAGTATAGTGGAGTTTTCTCAGCTGTCACAAAGTAATATTATGACAGGATACATGTAAGGGCTAATGCTATTACTGTTAGAATATATGCTATAGCTTACACTTAAGTATATTCATATATGAGCAAGTCATGTTTATAATAACAAAAAAGCGAGATTAATATGAAGAAAAAGGTAAATAGAGTATAAACTATTGTTCATCTAATGATGCACCTGACAAGTCTGATTTCGAAACATTAATTTTTTTTCTTTCCATTCCGTCCACGATAAACAGGTTCACCAACAAGATGAGAAAGAAACGTGATTGCATCACCTAATGATCTTGTATTTCACGCTATCAAGGGGAGGCATAATTATTGTCTAAAACGCCGTAAAAAAAATATGACTACAACATACACGCACGTAGCTTATTAACATAGCCGATGCGCATTTTATAATTCACGTCTAATTCACACTTACATTAGTGAAAGTCTACTATACTTTCGCCAACTGGCGAAACTCCATCAAGTGTGTTGGCGAAAGTCCACTGTACTTTCGCCAATTGGCGAAATTCCAAGCTATGTATTGGCGAAAGTACAGTGGACATTCGCTAATTGACGAAATTTCACGGGGTATATTGGCGAAAGTACGCGGGACGTTCGCCAATGGCGAACGTCCTATTTGACGAAATTCCTAATTGGCGAAATTCCGGAATCCCTGGATACCCATGTGCAGTGGCCTTTGAGTATTTCTGAATGCTTCCATATTATAGCCCTTGAAGACCTATGCGTACTCTTATAGGATAGTCCTTGAGGACCTAAGAATACTCCTATAGGGTAGCCCTTGAGAACTAAGAGTATCCTAATAGAAAAGCCTTTGAAGACCTAATAGTACCTCTATAGGATAGTGCTTGAGGGCTTAAGAGTACACCCATGGCATTGAACTTAAGTGCCTATACGTCTTTATGGTTTAATCCGTCGAGAGTCACGAGTACTTATCTTAATTAGTGCTAATTGGTTGAGTATTAATCAAGATGCGTATTGATTAAGATGAGGACTAGTTAAAATGCATACTAATTAATTAGCTAATGTACAGTTACATAATGGTCATAGTCTATGGCTATAATCGATGGAAGCCTACCATTTACTATGAACTTTAAAGCAAGGACAGAGTTCATTGAGTGAAATGTGGATGCGTAAGTGAGCTCGAAATTTGGAATTTAGGTAGTTTGAAACCCACTGTTTTGGCGGAAAGTAGGGAATTTTTATAGAATTGGCGGGAAAACGGGCCAGTGCACCGTTTCCTGTGTGCAATGGTAGGAAATGATCGGCTCTTAGGGACAGTATTGCGCAGGACTTTCACGGATTCCGCTTGCCGTTTCCGGCGGGAAAGCGACAGAAGTGTCGGGAGTTTGCTTGAAGAACTCGGCAGGATCCTGTTTAGGAATACTTTGACCGTGTTCCATTGATTTCCGAGATTTTCTATGTTGTTAGAAGATAGTATCGGAGTAGATCCGGCCGTTTCCACTGTGGTTCCGGCTAGATGTGATCCCAGGTAAATGATTCTGAAAAACAGATCCTGCATGAACCGGTGGGAAAAGGTGGGAAAATTCACCGTATCCTGCAGAAAAATACCCCAGAACGATGATTCCGGCGCTCGGATCCGTGAATTCCCAGCGAGAACCTGCAGAAAAACTCCGGAAATCGATGGAAATGGAAGCAGTACTCCTGGCCGGAAGGGTGTAGGTGTGGGTGTGAGTATGGGTGTTGGTCATCTGTTCACACACACACCCACCCACCCACACCCACACCCACACCCACCCACCCACACCCACACCCAC